TACAAGATGAAGAAGTAAATCGAGAAGGTTTTCATGAGAATAACTCGGAAAGTGAAGACAGTTCTGAGCAGAGTTTTGGAACTTCTGAAAACAATTCTGTACAAGCCGAGAATAGTGAATTTGAGGATTTATATGATGAAGAGATACAAGATTTTCAAGAACCAACAATTACAAGAGTTGGAAGACTGGTAAATAAACCACAACACCTGGAAGATTATGAGATATATGCGGTTTACGACACCATTGAGTTTCAAGATGATCCTCAAACTTTTTCTGACGCTGAAGAATCTGTTGAGTGGCAAAATGCAATTAGAGTCACATAAAAATCTCCAAACTTGGACTGTATGTGAGCTTCCAGAGAACAAGAGGACCATTGATACTAGATGGGTATTTAGACCAAAGAAGATGGTTTAAAGAAGGCACTGCTAGTAGCTAAGGGATTTCAGATCAAGGAGGAGTATCCTTTTGGCACTATGTATGCTCCAGTTGCAAGGCTGTCGATCATTAGAGCGTTTCTTGTAAATGGACTAATACAGGGTTGGAATATATGTCAGCTAGACATTTCAACAGTTTTCCTAAATGGCTCGATGTTTATATCAAAGTACCTGAGGGGCTAAATGTTGACAGATCCAAAGTGTTGAAATTAAACAGAGCACTGTACGGTCTTAAGGAAAGCCCGAGATGTTGGAACAACAAATTCAATCAAATCATGACAGATTTAGATTTTAGAAGATCTAAATCTGATTTTTGTCTGTATTCAAAAGCAGATGTTTGGCTCTTAGTGTTCGTGGATGACTTGATTGTAACTGGAAACAAGGACAAGGTAGAAAGTGTTATTAGTATCTTGAAGGAAAAACTGAATCCTAAATTTCTGGGTGAAGTTAAAAAGTTCATAGGTGGAAAAAAATAGAACATTCCTTAGACCATATATAAGATAGTATTAAGTAGTGAATAGGTTAAAGATGTCTAGTTGTTGATAGGACATTGGTTTCAGATAATTTAGTAATCTTATGTTAAGAAGTTACCACTTGGTACTTTAGTAGTAGTAAGTGGTAAATAAATAATTAATGACGATATTTCACTTCATATTTTGTATATTTTTTTATATATAATGTAATGTGAAATAAATAAAATAAAAAAAAAAAAAAAAAAAAAAATATCACCGAAGATTCTCAAAGAATTTAACATGGCTGATTGTAAAGGTGTTACAACTCCAATGGTCACTGGATTTCAAGTGGAAAAATCTGATGAGATTTTAAGTGTTGCTTACAGAAAACTGATTGAATCATTGATGTACCTGGCATGCACTTCAAGACCAGATGTCATGTATGCGGTTTCGTATCTTAGCAGATATATGGACAGCCCGAATCAAGCTTTATGGACAGCTGGAAAGGAATTGATAAGGACATTGAAGATTTAGTTAGAAGTTGTACAACTTGTTGTGAAGTAAAGAAAACCCCTTGCAAAGCACTGATTCATCACTGGGAAGAGCCAACAAGAAATTGGCAATGAGTCCACGTAGAGTATGCAGGACTGTTTTTGAATCATTTTTTTTATTGTTGTTGATGCAAAATTCAAATGGCTAGAAATTAAAATGAGTTCTAAAGCCCCAACTACATTTTGCACTATTAATTTTCTGCGAGAAATTTTTAGTTGTTATGAATTATCGGAATTCCTTGTAAGCGACAACGCTAGTATATTTAAATCTATCGATTTTAAAGAATTTTGTGAAAGAAATGGAATTAAACAACAGTTAATTGCACCAGGACATCCAGCTACTAATGGCCAAGCAGAGAGATTTTGCCAAACTTTCAAATCAAAATTAAAATGTATGATCAATGAAAGTGGCACATTACAAGAAAAATTGCACGCATTTCTATTCAAGTACAGAACCACATCATTATTGAATGGAAAAACATCCTCAGAATTATTATTTGGTTATAACCTAAGGATAAAGCTGGATTTAATTAGAACTTCTACGTGTCAAAAAATAATGCATTACAACCAAAATTTGGGAAATTTTACCTTATTGGTTCTCGAATACAATCAAGAAATTATTAAGGATCTAAATTTAGGAAAACTTCATTATTTAACTGAATTAGATGATAGGTCTATAAACCTAGCAGTCCCAAGCGAGGTCCCAAAGTGGAAAAAATCTTCGGAAACTATATAATAATTAGGTGCTTTTTAGGTGCTGATTAGGGCCTTTAATTAAAAATTAGGTGCTTTTCTAGTTTTTGAGAAAATCAAAAAAAAACTAAGGGATTGATAGGTTTATATAAGCTAGTAGTCCCCTATAGTGAAAAATATTTTTCCAAAAATTTCTTTTGTATCAGAATTAGATAGAAAAAAAATTTCGGGGTCTATATAATAATAATAATTAGGGGTTTTTTAGGTGCTAATTAGGGCTACTAATGAAAAATTAGGAAAAAACAAAGGAACTGCTAGGTTAATGGAAACTAGCAGTCCCTACTAATTAAAAAAAAATCTGTAACTTAGTTAATAATTAATCAATTCTATTTTTTCCTGGACTATTTAGGAGCACCTAAAAAGCACCTAATTCTGATACAAAGAAGTAATTTGAAAAAAATATTTTTCATTATAGGGGACTACTAGCTTCCCTTAGTTTTTTTGATTTTCTCAAAAACTAGAGGAGCACCTAATTTTTAATTAGAGGCCCTAATTAGCACCTGAAAAGCACCTAATTATTATATAGATCCCGAAGTTTTTTTCCATTCTGACACACAAACAAGTAAACGTAAAGCTAACAGTCCCCTAATAATTAGAAAAAAATCTGTAACTCAGTTAATAATCAGTCAATTCTATTTTTTCTTCGACTATTTAGGAGCACCTAATTCTGATACAGAGAAGAAATTTGAAAAAAATATTAGGGGACTACTAGCTTTCATAAACCTAGCAATTCCTTAGTTTTTTTTTAATTTACTCAAAAACTAGAGGAGCACCTAATTTTTAATTAGAGGCCCTAATTAGCACCTAAAAAGCACCTAATTATTATATTATAGATCCCAAAGTTTTTTTGCCATTCTGACACACCAACCTGTAAACGTGAAGCCAGCAGTCCCTTAATAATTAAAAAAAAATCTCATTAGGAGCACCTAAAAAGCACTAATTCTGATACAAAGAAGTAATTTGAAAAAAATATTTTTTACTATAGGGGACTGCTAGCTTTTATAAACCTAGCAGGCCCTTAGTTTTTTTTTGATTTTCTCAAAAACTAAAGGAGCACCTAATTTTTAATTAAAGGCCCTAATTAGCACCTAAAAAGCACCTAATTATTATATAGTTCCCGAAGTTTTTTTCCACCTTGGGACGACATTTTAATCAACTCAGACCTTGTCAAGTAGAAAAACCTGGTCCAGTTACTCCAACCCATAAACTCATAATGACAATACACAAAATACAATACCACTACAAGAGAAACAAGAAAATAGTTACATTTGCCCCTAATATTTTTTTCAACCACGATTTACACAAGGAATTCAAGATAGTCAAGTGCAAGAACCTATAACTCAAGAAGATTTACCTTCAACTTCAAAAAATATACCAATTATTTCACCTCCAACATTAAACGATACTCTGCATGATTCATCTGGAGAAATTCAAGAAGAGTCCATGCATCCAAATTTGCCAGAAACAGATGTTCCAAAAGAAATCCAGACGATGCCTCGAGTGCTGCCTCATACCTATTCAGTACCTGTTATTATTATTTCCGCAGCTTCCGACTGTTTTTGAGTCCAAATTTCAATTGATATTTTCTCCAAATACCAATCAGAATATTCAATCAAAATTCAATATCAAGCGTCATCATGTCCCTCTATTGTCCTAATCTTGTTACAAAAAGATCACAAATTACGTAAGCATTATTAAGTTCTTAGTTCTCCAATTATGTCCTGGATGAAATCGTACACAAGCAAAAGTGCAAGCTCGGCACTTTGTTGTTGGGTGAAAGACCCATTTATTTGCACACCGTATTAAACTGCATCCCGTGGAAGTCAAATAAAGTGAGGTAAAGGACCTTAACTGGGTCAGAGTTTACAGTTTTATTAAATTCCGCGCGCCGTTCCGGCACAATTACAAATTGCACCCTCTATAATCGCTAATTTAATTGGGTTGCGAATACAAAACACACAAGGTTAATTGATAATTCGATTATTATTTGAAGTTAATTTGCAGGATTCAGATGATTTTTTTGCCAGATACTTGTTAACTAAGGTAAAAAAATACTTGAAATGTTTCAACTGTGCATAATGAAATTCGCTGTGAAACATGGTCCATCAGAAGGTGGTGGCTGAAATTGATTTTCCGGACACACATGAACTTTGAACTTTGAGCCTTAGGTGGGATCCCTATATAATCAATAGGGTGTTAATTATTATTGTGGGCGTCAAAAGGTTCCTTCAGTGTTAATTAATATAATATCTTCCACCATTTACTTGCATTATTTGTCATTAGATTGACAACACTGTGATAAAGTGTTCGTGCCAAAAGCTGCACTTATTCATGGGGTTCAATTGAACCGAGTTTGTGTTTCAAGTTTCAAGGGTAAATTTCAGTGAAATTACCTGGGGAAGTTTTGAGTAAGATTTTGAATATCCGAGGATTTCTTGTACTGGGTACAAAATTTAAGAAAATGTTTAACTTTAACTAGTTATCCATAGTCCGAAAATGTATGGGAAAAAATCAGTCCTCGTGTAACTTATTCTAATCACGAATGTTCACACGATTTCCATTTGCTTCAAAATTTGCTGTTCACCATCATCTTCTTTTTCATTATTGGGCCTTCTCAAGTTTCATATAAACAAACCCTGGACTTTATTTGTCTATATTTCAGCTTGGACATTTTCAGTTTCACTTATTAATTGAGTTCTTGTTCTTTACTGGGGCTTTTACATATTATGGATTCCAATCCCTGACAATAATTTTGACACGTCCTTGTTCATTTTGCATTATATCAAATGTCAGTTTTTGAAACAACAAAAATGCACAATAGAGAAGTGCAAAGCATAAATTTCGTATTGGAAGGCAAAGAACTGGAGCAAGAAATACATTATTGTATATCGTACATCGTACACAATTGCCCCAGGGTGCAGCAATTATTTTGCGCCTGGGCGAATCTCACAGCCGAGCAGCAAGACGTATTCATATACCACTCGAATTATATTTTCGAAAACAATATGGTGATGTTTAACGGTGTGATGGGAGGATTGCGTTTTTGGAACGATATACAAGACACGGAGGGAGCCTGTGGTTACAATCAAATACCGAGAGAATGCAATTTGGAGAAGCAACAAAGGAGGGAAATTTTGATGCTTATTTTTAAAATGAAGCAAGTCGCGGAAACTATTGATAAAAAGACGTTGTTGTGTGAACAATTTGTCAAATTTAAAGTGTTTTTCAAGAATCATAGGATTGCTTTTATATCTAAACATGGCGATATGTAGATCAAAAATATTCTATTGAAATACCAATGATTTTAGTTTTTTTAAAAAACGTTACTTAAGTTGAAATAATATTTTTTTTTGGTGCTACTTACGAAGTTCGAGTTTCCAATAATAGCAATATTCAGTGATCAAAATACATTTTGCATGAATCAATTTGTTAGTTTTTGCCTAAAGTCCTATTTCACCAAAAATTTAAGTCTATAGTGACAAATTTTGGTATATCTAAGTTCACTCTTAGATCTTAATAATCTATAGGTACAAGTACAATAATAATATTTATTCAAATTCGTAAAGCAAATATAATCAGGTTATGCTAAATTATAATCTTGAAAAACTCCTACCCTTAATCCATTTAAATTTATTTTGTCGGGATTTAGACTTCGCGTGCACGATTGCATGGTTTGAATTTCACCGATTTTATTATAATACCGTAATACAAATATACCATTTTGGTTATGATATTATCAGTCATAATAAAATTGTAGGTATAGTCCTAATTTTATATTGTTATATCGCCATCTTAAAAATTATTTTACCGTTTTGGAAAATACTTAATTGGAGTAGAGTCTCTAAAATATTTTGCTCTCATTAAAGCTCTACTCCATTTTTATAATATAGGACATAATTTATCCTGTAGGTACTTGTAAGTGGAGAACATGACACTATCTACTATGATGGAATAAATGGAAGCTTTCTGAGCAGTCTTAAACTCATTTTCTTATTTCTAATAAACTTATTATCAAAGAATTGGAAAGTAAGTAGGTAAGTATACATGCACAAGTTTAGAGAAATGACTGAATTGTTTGCTGTTTTCTACTAGAAATGCCTAATGCTTGCAACCGTCGAAGCAACAGTCCTTCTCAGGATAGTTGCTGAGAAAATTCTTCCACCCTTTTTTGCAAGGATTAAACCACCCTTCCAGAATTTGTGCAAACAATACCTCAAAGGGGATTTTTTCACGCAAAATTCCTGCAAATTCTTCCAAATTTCCTACAAATTCCTCCAGAAATCCAAACCACAAATTCCTCCAAATACCCCACAAATTCCTCCAAACCCCTTGACCCCATAAATGCGTCTTCCCAAACTTAATTGTTCGTGATAAGAAATGTATATTTTTATAATATAGAACATGATCACTCGACTTCATCTGGAAAATACAAAAACATTTTTGTTTGTCTGTTTTGGAAGTTATTGAAAACATCTACAGCCAAATGCTTGAAGTCTTATACCACACATGCTCAACTAGAAGTAACTTACCAAAATTCTGATTGGTAGGACAGTTAGAATAATAGCTTGGATAATTAATATTTTTTTTAATATAGCTTATTCCTCCACAATAGTCTACTGTCGAATGACGAAAATAAAAATAAATAAGAAAAAAAAGATTCAATAGCTTGTTTACATTACCCTGGTCCCTTTTTTCCTTACTTCAGTGATGATTTATCACTTAGGTATAATAATATTGAGATAAACAAATCCTTTCATCTTTACTTGCTGATCAATGGGATTACATATTGCGTTTTCTCCTTCAGATTGCATTACCTGACAGTTTATTAGAAAGTGAATAAACCGGCTCTTTAATGTATTAAAAGGCTCTCTTGAAGAGCCGGGAATAGACAAAATTTTGAGAATTGAAATGCAGACATTAAGAGAAAATGGAGTAGATAAGTAGACTTAAATACCTACTATTCCAGGCTTTAGAAATAAACAATTCAAGATCCAGCAATAGACAAAAATTTAGACAGCAAAGTTTGAAAATTGAAAAGCAGAAATTCAGGAAAAAACGGGTAGACAAGTAGATATAAGTATGTTGTTTCTATTCTAGGCTTTTGAATTTTCTAGAGAGGAATAATTCAAGAGCCGGGAATAGACAAAAATGGGACGGAAAAATTCAGAAATTTAAGTAAAATTTCCAAAAAGCAGAAGTATCTGTGAGAAGAAAACCATCATTCGACTATTTCACAGATTTAATGGGTTTGCTTAGGTATTCTCTGATATAAAGTAAAAGCTTAAGCTTTCGCAGATAGTTTAGAACTTCCAGATAAGGATAAGATTGATCAATCCGCCGACAAACTGTGTGAACTAGGGATAAGGTCAACCCATAGGGAGTCCAGAGGCCTGAAAGCCAGGAAGGTACCATCAGGTCGCGAGGCAGGTGAATGACGAAAAGGCTAGAAACGCTGTAATGACCCTAACTATCATGGCCTTTTCCCTTCTGGGACTGACACTTTTAATAGAGTAGACATAATAGGTATGCTATTATTTCCTATTCCAAGCTTCTGAATTTTCTCTATTTGGAGGTATTCCGAAGCAAACAATTCAAGAGCCGGGAATAGACAAACATTTAGACAGAAAAATTTGAGAATTGGAAAGCAGAAATTTGGGGAAAATTGAGTAGATAAGTAGACTCAAATATCTTTTGAATTTTCACTGTTTGGAGCTTACCACAATGACCAGTGTGTCGTCAAAAGTACGTCCAATTTTGGACCACTTTGGCCTCATATGACTTTTGTTCAAAATAGAACGTCGCACTGAAGACATGTTTTGGACGTACAGCCGAGTCTTAAACTTTAAACCCTGAATTATTCTCCAATCTTGGAAGTCTTTTTGTTGGCTTTTTTGCCGTTTTGAGTTGTTTTTTTCGACGTCCTAAATCGATAGAGCGAGTACAAATGAGTCAGAAACAACTCTAACATCAGTTACACTTGAAAATTTCGATAAGAAAAAAAAATCCAAAAAGCAAATCTAATTTTTGGAATCTTGACATGCTTATGAATAATTGCTCATATCTTCATCGATATTTGAGAAAATTGCCTACAATTATACATCATTAGAAAGAGTATAATAAATTTTCTATAAGCCGTGCAAAATTAGTTAGTGTCACATGTGAAGTTTCAGAGATATTGAGCTTCAAAGGATAACGCACACCTAACATGGGATTTTTGGGCTTTATGGATTTTGCCCATTTTTTGATATGTTTTAGAAGAGGATTTAATTCTGAACAATCTTTAAATGGGCTGAAATCTTGTAGATATTACGGTCTTTGAGATATGAGCGTTGAAAGATGAACTTTTTTGCTACTTTTTGTGTGGAGAGTATACGAGATACTGGGTTTATCAGTCAAAATATTGACAGGTTCACATATTTTATGTCACTTAAAAGTTAATGTCAACATAGGTTAAGGCCGGGATCGCACTGGGGTCAATGTTGTCGCCAGTGCGTTCCCGGCCTTAGCCTATGTTGACATTTGTTGGTGACGTGAAATATGTCGACCTGTCAAAATATTGACTGATAAACGCCAGTTTTTCGTATACTCTCAACACAAAAAGTCGCAAAAAAGTTCATCTGTCAACGCTCATATCTCAAAGACCGTAATACCTACAAAATTTCGTCTCATTTAAAGATTGTTGAGAATTAAATCCTCTACAACATATCAAAAAATGGGCAAAATCCATAGAGCCCAAAAATCCCATGTTAGGTGTGCGTTATCCTTTGAAATTTAGTTGACATTTTGCTCAAAACTTTAAACTCGATTTTCTCAAAAACGGTAAATGCTAGCGATTTCAACAAACCAGCATTTTGGAGCTTTTATTGACAGCTACAGTTAAATGTAATTTTGTCCTGGTACCGCTTTTAGTTACCGAGATATTCAGGTTCGAAGATTTGCAAATTAAAATTCAAAAGGAGTAGGTACCATTAGGAAAAGGTACCAAAAACTAAAAATTTTTATTTCTAGATTTATCTCAATTCTGATTTATTATATCGATAAAGCGATTTTAAGTTAGTCAGAAACAACTCTCGCATTAGTTACATTTGAAAATTTCTATGAGAAAAAAATTCCAAAAAAACCCTTTTTGGCTTAGGAAATTTTTTGAAATTTTGACATGCTCATGAATAATGGCTCATAGTCATATCTTCAACAAAATTTGGAAAACTTAGTTACAATTATGCATCATTCGAAAGAGTATTAAATTCTCTATAAGCCCTGTAAAATTGATTTTTGTAAGTTATGAAGTTTCCGAGATATTAGACTTCAAAGTTGAAATTTATAGTCCACATTTTGTCCAAAACTTCAAATTCCATTTTCTCGAAAACCCTAAACGATAAAGAGATCAGTGAAGTAGAGTACTACTACTACTACTACTACTACTACTACTACTAGTACTACTACTACTACCACTATTACTACTCAAAGATAGACAAAATTACTAGTTTTCAAAATGTGCTTACTTTCAAACATCGATATCTTGAAAACTAATCATACAATTCAAGATTTTGCTATAAGACTGTAAAAGGAAAGCAACGAGCTATCCATGATGTACAACACAAGGTATATAGGTCCTTATTTCTTGTTATTATATATTCCCTATTGCTACTTCTCAAATTGTCACCCTATGATGTCCGACGTGTCCTGGGGCCTTATTCTTGAAACATGGAAGCAGCGTTCCCAGGAGAACGAGTGTTCCGTCTTTGTTACTCATATTATCATTTGCATATCATTGAGGAAGAGGGAACACTCGTTCTCCTGGGAACGCTGCTATGAAACAGAGGAGCAGGTTATTCTTCAATAAGGACCCTGAATGGAAACAGCACTGTCGGGCAGTTATGCCCGACGCGGCATGCCTCATAAATTCTGCATAAATTTCCCCAAAATTCCCCACAAATTCGTCCAATTTCCGATAAATTCCTTCAAATTCCCCACAAATTCCTCTAAATTCCCCACATGTGGACATTATGGACCTAAAAGAGTATTGATGGTATAGACTTAAAGACAACCAGAGAATAGGGATCAAAATCGACCGAACACGAAAGAAGCTTATATGCCCGACGCAGCAAGCAATGTGTTAAATTCCTCCAAATTCTCTATAAATTCCTCCAATTTCCTATGAGTTCCATCAAATTAATGGTATAGACTTAAAGACAACTAGAGAGGATCAGAATCGACAGAACACGAAAGCAGATCCAGCCAGAAGTAAGGGAAGATTTCAGTCTTGTGTCGT